TGAACAAGTTGCTGATTATGCTTCATCTGTGTAACGACCCGGCCGGTTGTTTTGAGTATTATAGCCTCATTCCCCCATTTATTGCTTATTCTATGATCATTTTTTGATATGTGACTTGTCGAGGTAGTTGGTTTGGTTCCGGGGATGTTTCAGAATGGATTGAGACACTTAATCCCAAGGTTGGAAGCCTAAGTTGGGAGTATTGACCGGATGTTGACTTATTTGTAGATGACTCTGGAATGAAGTTTGATGGTTCTGATAGCTCCGTATGGTGATTCTGGACTTAGGAGTGTGTCCAGATATTGATTTGGAGGTCCGTAGGTGATATTGGCTTGAATTGACGAAAGTTGGAAAACTTGAAGTTTGGAGAGTTGAGAAGTGTGACGGAGAGTTGACTTTATGATTATCGGGCTCGAATTTTGGTCCGAAATTTGGAATAGGTCCATTGTGTCATTTACGACTTGTGTGCAAAATTTGAGGTCGATCAGAGTTGGTTTGATAGGTTTCGGCATCGATTGTAGATGTTGGAAATCCATTAGTTTTATTAGGCTTGAATTGGGGTGCGATTTGTGTTTTTTTTATGTTGTTTGACGTGATTTAAGGTTTCGACTAAGTTTGTATCATGTTTTAGGACATGTTGGTATGTTTGGTTGAGGTCCCGCGGGCCTCAGGTGGTTTTCGGATATTTAAAGGATTGAAATTGGACTTAGAGGAGTTACTGAAGTGCTTCAGGTCTGGTGCGATCGCACCTGCGAAGGATTTGGTCGTAGGTGCGTGAACGCAGAAGCGAGGATGGTATCGCAGGTGCAGATTCTTGTTGGGGCTGAGGGGATGCGCAGGTGCGAGGTTTTGTGTCATGCCCCTAACTTGGGGAGCGCGACCGGCGCTCAACCGAGTGAACCCGGCCGAGCAAGCCTGTTAGATTTCCTTCTACCCAAACTCATCCATAAATAAAGAGGAGATGTACTCCATTAATCAAACATTGAAAAGATTTTATTAACAACTCCCATTTCATTTCCATTAGTAGCTTCATTCATAATTTCCGAAAAATTACAATTTTATAGATATAATGAAAAATATGTTTGCCAAATACCAACATTTCTTGCTCAATTCCCAACATCGAATATCACCTACAACCTGTCTACGGAGCCTCTAAGTACAACAGAAGTGAAGAATGGAAGTGCCGGCAACAAGACCTTGGCTATACCTCAAAACACAATGTACAACTCAAACGATATCAGGCGCGGAATAGAGTAGGGCTCACCAAAAGTCTGTTGAATAGAAAGTGACTGCTAACGAGGACCAAAGTTGCCCCGCTGGTGAACCAGCTGCATCCATTGAAGATGCAGCACCCCGGGCAAAAGGGACGTTAGTACATATGGAATAGTACTAGTATGTAAAGCTAACTGTCCTCTTTCACAATAGAATGCCAACATAAAAGGGAAAACTATGGAAACAACAATCAACAATCAATGATATCCAATTTCCAAGTTAAAACATATTAATTTCCAAAATACGAACATAATATTATTTTTGGTTGGGAGATCTTTAGCACCAATATACCACTGTTCACAATATCACCGTTCACAATAACAATACTACCTTACTTTTATCACATAGTCAGATCACGACCCGATCGGCTAGGCCATCTCATCTGAGACATCAACCACAATCACAATTTCAATTATAATTTCTAGCACAATCACTACCATGTGAACGACATGGTGTCCGATCACGACCCAATCGGCTAGGCCATCTCACCACAATGCCGTATGGATCGACATCATCCATTTCTATCAATCATCTCATCCCAATTAAGGGGAATAATTTTATCACATCAATCTCATCCCAAATAAAGGGAATAATCACAATCCACTCCTACACCGACACGTGTAGTTTCGGGGTTAGGTTATTTCAACCTACCCTTCCTCGGTGACTATCGATACTCCCAAAAATATTATTGATTTGCTTATAAAGGAAACAACAATACAAATTCATTTACCTCATAACCTTTCATACTGTATATAGCCTCATTGGCACTTCTAACAACTTTCAACATCATTATTTCATTGGCTCTCTTGGCCATACATATGATTCTTCATTCATAGCACAATGGTCGTATTTCATATTTCACACTTTCATTTCTTCCCTTTCATGGATTATCATCATAAATATCAACAAATAGAATATTCTGAAAATCACAACTTTAGGTTCATTAATAATGAAGGCTTTAAACACAATGGACTTCTTTCCAAGAAATGGAGTAAAATGATTGACAATCGAAGCACAAGTTAAAATCATAAACAAGTAACACATCATTTATTCTTGAAATACTTTTCCCCAAAAAAGGGCAATATACAATTTCAACTCATGAACATGTAAGAACGCAAAACACATCGAAACTACTTACAAAGCATAGCATTAGTTAAAACAGCCACATATGGGCATCACCTGAATTCATAAGCTTTTAGGCAATTCTATTTTCGAAGTCAATTTCGGAACAATTGAATCAAATCCCATTTCATAATCTTTCTCACATCATCTCATTTCATTGGCACCATTGGTCACAAGTATAAATTTCACTCTTGGTATGTTGGCCACACTTTATATCCCCAATTTACTTATTTCACTTCCAACCATCTTTATAGATTATCAACAATAAGATATTTTCAATCAAGACTTTAGGTACACATATGAGCAATTAAGTGTCTTATACATATTGAGATTTTCTAACATAATTTGGCATCATAACCTTCATTTGAAACATGACTCAAAGACATAATATTTTAATACACATATCATTCTTGAACACATTCCCAAATGATAACATAATATGATAGAAACATTCAGAACACGTTTTGAATACATCATTCTCGACACTTTGCTTATTCGGGACAATCAAATTTATTGGGAACATCTCGGAGCATAGAATAAGGAACTTGAGACAACCATACTTGAAACTTACGGGAACATCATGGAATTCAATTCTAAGAGAGTAGTTTAGCCAACATACCTCAAATTCGTTCCTTAATCATACTACAACGATCCACTACACTAAGAAACTTTAATGTACAATAACAACATCCAATGGGACCAATAGTAGTAACAAATTCTATAATTTAGGCCATTTAGGCACTTTATCAAATACCTAGTAGGCATGAATCTCTACATCTCTTAACCATAGAATTAGTTCATCCAACTACTACCATTTACTAATAATTTATCCCACCATCATTCTTAAACAATTCTTAACTTCCAACATCACATACATGACCATCCATCCACACCCAACCAACAAAATCCATCAAATAATTACCTTTAAATCTCTACAATGGTTATGTATTTAAATTGGGAACTTATGGCTTCCAATCACCATACCATAAGTTATAACACATATTTCATACATAAATAATCACCATAGATTAGTTGGAGATGGTAGACATACCTCTTATAGTGAGACTCTTGAAAATCCCAACTTCTAAGGTTCTTGACCAATTTGGGAATTTGAATGGAATTCTATGGATCTTCAAGATTAATCCTAGTTAATATAGTTATTTAGGAGTAGTAATCAACTCAAAATACTCCAAAAACATTACCTTAGTTCATGGGAGGGAAGTGTTATTTCCCTTGATATGCAAGCCCTAGCTCAAAGAAACGACTTAATCCCTCTCTCTACCCGGCCTTGGGGGTATTTAATGGGCTCCTACGTGCGCGATCACGCACCTGGTCGCGCACCTGAGGCAGAATACCCTTTAATATGCGCGGCCGTGCATCTAGTCGCACATATGGCATAGGTCCCGTAAAATAGACATAACTTTATGTAGAAATATCCAAATGATGAACGGTTTGATGCGTTGGAAACTAGACTCAAAGATTTTTAATTTGATAGGCAGATCACATCCTAAGTCGTTATAGTTTGGTAACAGCATGCGTTTGAAGTATGATGTTGTGCGAATTAAGACATCCTTTCCACTTAATGTATCCAACTTGTTCCACACAAATTCTTACCATTCACAAAACTTAGTATGTTCCAACACACCTTAAACACATATTTTCATTTCAAAATTATGTGGTCCTATCCCATAGGTCTCCTTTAATACTCGAATATGTTATCTTCAAATACCGCTGACGCACTTTAAAATCTTAAATTATTAGAAAATTTTAACGGGGCCTTACATTTTCCCCCGCTTAGGATCATTCGTCCTCGAATGAGGGTTAGAGTCCGCCATAGACACCTAATGTGACTTAAATCTTTATCTACACACCAAAAGCTCCAAAATTTGGCTAACTCCCCAAATTTCCAGAAATTTCGACAGAGTGTCCCCTGTAACTGGGCCTATCCACCTACTAGAGAATCACCAAAACAACTCTTAATAACATATCCATAACTCAACAAAGCATCACAGTATATATCAACACACTACTGAAAAATTGGTCTACGGTAATGCATGGAAAACCGTTCCCATAGACTGTTAAACCATTGCCATAGAGATATTGGAACGGTTTACAGCCTGTTCCATCATCCCGCGTGCCCATAAGTCTATAGGAAAGGTTCTTGCAACGGTTTGCATCGCCGTGACTATAGATACGTCTATCGCAATGGTTTTCCCTTTCTCTGTTGGAACGATTATTTTTTCCAATTGGAACGGTTTAAAACCGTTACAATATTATTTATACCACGTTTTGTTAACCATTACCATATTATTTAATGCAACACTTATGTAAGCTATTGTTATGGTTATGTATCGATATAACAACGATTTTTTTAAGCTATCGTAACGGTTATATTTATATTGGAACGGTTTATAGATCATTTTGGAACAGTTTATAAGACCTATTGCAATGGTTTACATTGTCTAATGAAACGTCATTTGTGTCCTATTGCAACGGTTCTGGTAGGCTATTGTATCAGTTCAGTTAAAACCAAAATATAGCACCTGTGATAAATAAATATTTATATATATAATAAATTATAATAACACTAAAATTTAAATAAATCATAAAATGAAACTATTAATAATATAAATTATCCATCATGCAAATAATATCCATAAAGCAAATGTTCTACCCCAAGTGCATAAGTTTAGTACATTTCAAGAGAGTGAGTTTCAAAAATGCTGATAACAAAAGATTCCTAGAACATTCATCTATAGCAATTCAAAATTCATCTCAAGGTTTAGTTCTTCACTGCCTTCATCATCCATTTCTTGATCTACTCCACCTATATAACCGGATAATTAAAGTCATTACCTTTCAAGAGAATCCGGTCTAAGAATATTCATAGCACAAATTGCCATGAAAAAGGAAAAGAACATGAAAAGGTAACATAAAAAATTCAAAATGCTTGGAGAAAGTATAAGAATAAGCTAATGAAAGACCAAGAAGGTACTGGAAAACACAAAAAAATAGACTTCTCAATTTTTTTTTTCACATATATTAAATGGGATAAAATAGAGTTTCAGTGGTTAATGATGACTAAAATGCTCTGAAACTCTATTTAGTGGGATAAAATAGAGTTTCAGTGGGTTATTCATTTAAACTCTATTTGAATTACTCAATAGAATTCATAAAATCTATTTGTAAGGCAAAACTAGGCAAGTGTACTGCCTTAAAAACTTTCAGTGACTTCTCTCTGTGTTTGTAAGTTGTACCAACACAAATAACATTCCAGATCAGCAGGTGCCCGATGAAATATACACGCAAGTTGAGCCTTTCACCATTGTTATGAAAAAACAAAAGAGAAAACAAAAAGACAAGAAAGAACGAACAACGTTTACATACATTTGCCGAAAGCCCAGAATTGTGCAGCAAAAAATGCAAGAAGCTACAGTTATCAAATAGAACTTGATTAACCATGGCTTCATTAATTACTTGTCTAGAAGGAAATTAGGGTAGAGTTGGCTGGTGGTAAGATAATGAGAACTACAGGGACAATCACTCTTATTGTGAAGGTGAGTGATTATACACATATAGCAAAAACTATGGCCAGGGGAAGTTAAAAATGCATCCTTTATAATCTGCTTACAAATTGGACACAACAATTCCCTATCCATTTCCCATTCTGTTTCATCTTCATCCTTTACACTACCACCCCCATCCTCTTTACCCCCTACCCTCACTGACCCCTTCACTGCTGGCACCACTCCCCCAATTGAACTTTCCACCATAGTAAATTGGATATTCTAAAATCAATTAACATTATAGTAATAATTGAATAAAAATCAGACTTTTTACCCAGAATATCTTCTTCCTCATGCAACAACTTTACCAATTAGCACAGAATTACACAGCGACTATACAACAACAAAGAGCCGGCAAGGTAACATAAAATAATATGCATCATAGTAATGACACTAGCTAGGTAACCACAGAATTATGCAGCGACTAAGTGCCATAGGCAAAGTAAAAAAAAAATTACTAGACTATTCAGACTTTGCGAGAGAGAGAAAGAGAGTAGTAGTAGAAGAAACAACACAAGGAAGGAGAAGAAGAAGAAATAGAAGAAGATGTATAACATTTGGTACGTACTGATCTTGATTGTTACTACCAGCAGATGGTCGATTGTTTAGTTGAATAGCAGCTTGATGTGCAGAGGAAGCTTCTACAGGTGAACGTGCACTGAACCTTAGCATGTCATGATCAAGTCGCAAATCTGGGTTCAGACGCTGAAGTCGTGCGGCGATGTTCATTATAATAATTTGTTCCAAGAATGAAAAGACTAGCAAAAGATCAGTCATTTTCCCTTTCAAATTCAATAGGAATCTCACCAGAAAACTTGTTCTCAAACAGTTGCAAAGATTCAAGAAGAGACAAAGATGTGCCTTCTACTCCAACCAATACAATAAGCTAGTAAGAAATCTTGCACATTGATGTTTACTATAATAAGCTATTGTAACTGTAATGCCTCCTTCCTTGCATAGAACCATAGATACAATCTGTTTGCAAGTGAAAGAATGATGTATGCTAAATTTATAATTATAAATAAACACAGCCTAGAAGTTGTTGCCACAGAATGCTAGAGGGAAGCAAATCTGGTCGGACAAATTAATATCAATACTAAAAAATTTCAATCATCAAACATTGAATTTAGTTAGTTTAACTCCACTGGTTCATCCTTTATTATTACCATAAGATACTATTTCTTCCTCAGTAATCAAAAGAACATTGCAAGTTGGGTGAAGCAAATATCTGACTGTCAAACAAGCTTTGGTTAGTGACAGTGTATAAGATCAGACAATGTACTTTAACAATGTGGTTTATTATCATTCTTATGTCCCCTCACTCTTCCATCCCATTCCTTACCAACCAAAGAATAGAAAGGCTGTTTTGAGTTCAACATTTAAATGAGAATTTAAGTTTCCATACCCAAAACATCCACCTGATGAAAAAACAAAACAAAAATCTCGAAGAAACAAAACAAAATCTCCTTTCCAAACTCAATCCTTCTTAATTTATATTTAAACAGATTATATGTTATTGTAACACCCCGGAAAATTTTGAAGAACTTAAGTGTAAAGCCCGGTAAAATTTGCAAAGAAAATAATGTTTCATGGTGCCGGACTAGGCTTATGTGTTTGAGGATTGTAGAAATTCTTCGCGGCGAGCTTGCTCGGACTTTTTGGGTTGAACAATGCATAGGAAAGTAAAAGAAAATTTTTTGACGGAAAAGTGCATTTCTGCGGTCCATTATGCGACCGCAGAATCACTCTGTGGATAGCATAATGGCCGCAGAGTGAGACAGTTAATTGGGTCAGTTGGAAGCAATTATGCGGTCGACTATGCGACCGCATAAATGTTATGCGGTGCATTATGCGATCGCATAACAGTTATGCAGACCGCATAGTGACCGCATACACAGACAACTTTTTTGATCATTTTATCAGCAATTATGCGACCGATATACGGTCCGCATATCCATTATGCGGTCGCATATGCGACCGCAGAACTGTTCCGGAGCTCTATTTTTGGGTTTTTAAAACCCAACCCTATTTCGTTAAATACACTCTTTGGGCCATTTTTGAGCCATAATCTGATATTTTAGAGTGAGAGGGAGTGCCCTAGAGTGAGAAGGTGTTCTTCAATAATTTTTCTTCAATTCTTGCTCATGTTTTAGAAGATTAAGGGAAGCTCACTAAGTCTTCATCCTAGAGGTAAGATTCTACACCCTAAACCCTAATCTCGAAATCTTCTGAAAATGGGTAACTAGCAAGGTAATTTTTGGGCATGAGAGTTGTTTATTTTACATGCATGTGTTATCAAAGGATGTAGGAAGATTGTTGAGCTAAAAATGGTAAAGATTGGGTTGTGGGATGATGGAATCCTTCATAAAAAAGGACGTTGAAACCTTATGCACACCTTGTGTTTGATAAAATGCTCAAGTGAGCTAGAACCATGATCATCTTCCAAATTTTGATTCAATTTGTGNAGCTAGAACCATGATCATCTTCCTAACTTTGATTCAATTTGTTATATTTCTACAATAGATTGAAGTTGCTAAGAATTCCGGAACGTTTTAGAGTTTAAGGAAGATCAAGTGAGGTATGTTGGCTAAACTCTTCTCTTAGAATTGAATCCCACTATATTCATGTAAATTATGTAAGTCCCGAGTGATTCATTATGAAACTGGCTATTCCGAGTAAGATTGGGTTGAAAGATATATGTTCAACAAGCATTCCAAATGCTTTATTCATGTTATGTTACCAGTTGAGGATGTGTTAAAATATGGTCTGTGCATTAATAATATTTCGGCTTTAAGTCAAGTTCAAATGAAGGCTGTTATGCCAAATTTTGTGAAATATCTCTATGTGCCTTAGACTCTAAATTGCTCACATGTGTACTACACACCTTGATTTGAATTGTATTTGTTGTTGATGATGATGATGATATTTGAAATCGAAAAAGTGAGCATGAAATATTAATTATGGCCAGCGTGCCAAGAATAATCTTATAATTATGGCCATTAGTGCCAATGAAATGAAAAGATGTGAAAGTAATATGAAATGTGATGATTGATATAAAAAGGTTGATGTCTCAAATAAGATAGCCTAGCCGGTCGGGTCGTGATCGGACACCATGCCGCACACATGGAGGTGATTGTGCTGGAAATTGTAATCGAAATGGTAATTGTGGTTGATGTCCCTAATGGATAGCCTAGCCGATCGGGTCGTGATCGGACTCCGTGTTAAAGACGGTCGTATTGATATTGAGAGAAATTGTGGTTGATGTCTCTAATGAGATAGCCTAGCCGATCGGGTCGTTATCGGACTCCGTGCTAAGAGTACGGTGGTACTGATTTTGTGAATAATGGTATTGTGGACAATGGTATATCGATACTAAAAATCTCCCAATGTGAGATATGGAAATTAATTTGAACACTGTCATGATCCTAAATTAAGGTTTAATGTTAATTAAGGCTTTCATTGATATTATGGTAATCTTGTTTGTATTATTTGTCATTCTATTGAGAGACTTTTTAGTTATACATACTAGTGCTATTCGACGGTACTAACGTCCCTTTTGTCGGGGGCGCTGCATCTTTAAATGGATGCAGGTGGTTCCACAGCAGGAGATATTGATCAATGATAGGAGTACACCTTCTTCCCAGCTGACTTGGTGAGCCCCACTTCATTCCGGGATCATGTATCTTTTGTACTTTGTATATTCGGTTTGAGGTATAGCCGGGGCCTTGTTGCCGGCATTATCATTGTACTCTTCTTTACTTATACAGGCTCCGTAAACATAGTGTGGGTTGTGTATTGGTGCTGAGAAAGACAAGCTATGTTATGTTGTGGTTGTAGTATTTGTCCATTTGAGACTTTAAAAATGATGAAACTATTGGAAATAAATTAGTATTGTAGACATGAACACATTTTCGTCTAATTAATGATAATATGTATTATCTCTATTCGTGGATGAGTTTGGGTAGAATGAAATCTAACAGGCTTGCTCGGTCGGGTTCACTCGGTTGAGCGCCGGTCGCGCTCCTCGGTTTTGGGGCGTGACAATTATACAGGGATAGAATCTTATCATATAAAAACGATAATGATCCAAAAGGTCTCATCCCAAAAGGATATTCCCAAGATGTCTCATATGGAAATTAAAAGAGAAAAGGAAGTTGTTCTTATATCTCTGATTGTCTTCATGGCAGATAGGATTCTTTAGTTGAAAAGAAATAAAAGTTCATATCCATTTGTTCTCTTCTCTATATTAGTTAAATTTAATCTTACCCTCATCACTTAAAATGTCAACATTGCATAAGAAATTTGAATGTAAATGTCAACTAATGCAAAAAAAAAAAAACTTACATGTATAACAAGCACAAGGCTTTTCACCTTCTGAATCTTGTTTAAATTCTGCACATGAACATAGCTGTTAGATCTTACGATAGCCCCAAGGAACATACACAAATGAATATATAAGGTATATTTTGGCCCTCTACTAATTCTGGTTTAATAATTTTCTTTCTCCGCGTGGCGCATAATAAATATAGACTCAAGATCTGTTGGATTAAAATACTCCAACAGATTCGTCGAATTCTATATTGGTTTCAAACACAAGCATAAAACTATTATAAAGACAAGATTATTCTTAAATCATAGACATAGAGACAAATATGCAACAAAAAAAGCCTCATAACACGAGAATTTTACATGAAAACGATAACTAAGAAAATTCATAAAAACCAAAAACCCCAAGTTCCAGTAATTTTTAAGTCCGAATAAATACATTTTCATGCTTGTGTCATATGGATTTGAATCTCCATTCAATCACACTACATCACTCAATTACTCCCAAAAATAAAATAAAAATCACTGAATCGAGTAAAAAGGAACATTAAAACTGAAATTTTCATCCAAAATCACAACGGTTTATATTAAAAAGAGTTTAAGAAAACTTACAATTATTTATCCCACAACTATCAGTTGCATTTTCATCTATTGAGAAACCAGCTATCAGTTGCATTTAAGAAAACTTACAAGTTATGGCTCAACTATTGAGAAATTACAAAAGGAATAAAAGAAGAGCTTTGCGAGAGTCGAGCGAAAACCTACAGTTAAGGCTCAGTGAGAATAAGAAGTTGTAGTCGAGCTTAATCGAGAAAAAAACCCTAGAATTTTGGGACTATTTGAAACCATGGAGCTTTGATTAATTGAATGGTTGCTGTTTCTGGTGGAGGAGATAAATTTGATAGGTGGAGGAAAAAGAAAATTGAGGTTCTGCTGGTGTTGACGAAGGTTGACGGCGGGATATTGGCAGGTGCGACGGAGGTCGATGGCGGATAGTGGCAGGACAATGGAGGTTCTGGCTGGGTACGCTCAAAGGGGATCGGAAAGAGGTTAGGGCATATTTAGAAGAACAAATAAATAGTTTCTTTTATGAAATAATATTAATTAAAAAAATAATATAAAAATAGGGGTTCAAAAGCGCCGGTTTACGAAAATTGAGAGGGCAAGCTTTTAGGATGGAAATAACAACCGTTCCGATTGAATTTTTTTCAAGATCCGTTCCAATAAAGGAACGGTTAAAGCAAATGTTGCAAAAAATAAAACACTATTGGAATGGTTTTTACCTCAATGCAACGGTTTTATAGCCAAAGTGTGCTGGTATCACCCATGTCATATTGCAACGGTTAAGACCGTTCCAATAACCAATCTATAGTAACGGTTTTTGAACCGTTGCAAAAACATCCGTTGCCATAGACCCATTTTCTAGTAGCGACAACACTAATCTCAACATTAAGGGCATTACATTAACAGAAGTGGTATCTAGTGTCACGACCCAAACCGATGGGCCGTGACGGGCACCCGGTACCTTACTCAACCGAGTACCAACATAACGTACCTTTTCGTATCATACTATCATAGATAACTGAGCCGGAGAGGCTGCCGTCAGATAAGTAGAATACAACATGTAATACCAACTTATACATAAGACATACATGCCTATAAGACCAAAATAACCACTCGTACACTGAAAATAGGCCGACAAGGCCATACAATCTTTTACGTACATGACATCTGTCTACAAGCCTCTAAGAATACATAATTATCATAAAGGTCAGGACAGAGCCCCGCCATACCAAACAATACACGTCTAAATCTTATTGACCAAACAAGCAACTCCGAAGTAAATGAAGCGCACCAACAACTTCCGCTGAGCTGATAGCCTGCTTGGAGGACTCTTGACCAGTCTATCGGGACCTGCGGGCATGAAACGCAGTGTCCCCAGGCAAAAGGAATATTAGTACAAATAATGTACCGAGTATGTAAGGGATGAAAATCAGTAAATAATAGACATGAGAGAAACATAGAGTAAAAGACTCGACATGTATGTCTGCATAGCTCTGTGAATCATTTCATTTTTATAATGTCATGCATATGCGTATAAATGTCATACCATGCATAGGTATATGCATTCATAACATCATCAAGCCTCTGAGGGCATTCCATCATCTCATTTCGGCCACTGTGGGTAAATCATCAACGTATACCAGCTGATCAGGTGGTGGTGCGTATATAACGATATAACCTTTTCCCATATCCCATATACATATAATATACGTGTATATAACGTCATCTAGTCATGGGTCAATGTACATGTATAAATGCATGAAATGCATAAGAAATACGTTACTAAGGTTTCTCGGAATATCATAAAATTAATATGCCTTTCGGATAAACTTTATCAAATACGTCTGAGACCCATGAACAGAAGATATAATAATAATTCACATGGGGAATCAATAACATAGACACCCCTAATACTTCTTTGAATAGAGTTATTTATGAAAATTATGCGTTTACTCGTTTCGTTTGTATCGTATGGATCATGCCAAAAAGAAAGAAGGGGTAGCCTTAACATACCTTTAATGTCAACTTCCTACTTGTATATGTGAACGATCTCCTCAATCTTGTATACCAAAACTAGTCTTCTTCACGTTTTGCTTTAGTGTAAAGAGATATATCTATCTTTGTAGCTCAAATTTTTCAAGGGCCATTTCTAATCTTGTTGAGAAGAAGCAACAAATGTATTTATCTTGCTAACAACGTTGCTTGATATATATGTTATAAGTATATCCTCCAAAAAGTGAATGGAAGGAAAGGAAATAACTCTTATATTTCCTTGCTTTACATACTGCCACCGCCACTATCCCTTCTCCAAATGAATTTTGATCTCAATTGAAGATAAGTAAAAAGATGACTAACGTACACTTCCTTTCTACGTGTTTGCAAGGAAAGTATTGTCCATATGTCCTTATTTAATTGTCTAAAGTCGAGAGTCATTAGCTATTTCTCCACTTGCTGCCACAGGGGGAGGGGGCTTTGTCCCCACCTATTAATTATCCACAAATCCTTAATTACATGGTTAATCTCCCATTAAATAAATAATAAATCAATTACCCACATAATTAAGAATTATCTCAAATTACTTAAAATACTACTCACTTTTAATACACCTTACTATCATGGCCATGTGGTACCTTATATGATACTAGTCCATAAATACCGGGTATTTTAGCTCGGGTCGTATTTTATCCTAAAATGTCAAACTTCAACGAAATTTATTTTTTTCGATTCGCTTACCCTCTCACCTTCACGAATTAACTTATCACTTATTTGAAATAGCATAATACTTATAATCCCAAAATATATCTCATTCCCGAACTTGCGTCGATTAACTTATGATGAAACTTCAACGTACGAAAATGTGGGATGTAACATCTCATTACCGAGCTTATATCAATTTACTTATGGCATACTTCCACGTACGAAAACATGGGGTGTAACATCATTCCCCCTTTGGAACATTCGTCCTCGAATGTTGACTGATGCACTTATCATTTTCATAACTTATGTCTTTCGAATACTTTAGTACTCTCATTGCCATCTAGGCAACTGTTCTGTGAATAACTCCAAAGGCCAGGGCATTCCCCCATTTAGGCCTCTTTCTCACACCACGGTCTGTGGTCGGAATTCTTCCAATCTCGTAACTCTTGCTACCTTCTGTTATGCAGCTTGTACGACTTTTTCCTTGTTTGTGTGCCTATGCGACTCTTCTCTCCTTTTTCCTCCAGTTGTTTTTTAGCCAATCTCTAGGCCTCACTTTGTAAACATATACAGAGCTTGACAAGGTGTCCCTCTGGGCATCTATAGGTATACAGATGTTCTTTGCTCGGTACTTTGTCGAACTTACGAATATTGCTACATCTCAATTTATCGTTACTAAGGTCTGCTACCAAACTCCAGGTTACGTTTAGTTGCTTTATCCTATATGTATAAATCTATGTCCTTTAATACTTCCTCATTATTGTTCATCTTAAGTATGACGGCCTAATCTCACCTCATATTTTGTGACTTTTGTCTATCCATTGTTGATTCACCTTAATGTTGATCTGCAATCTGCTAGTGATAACTTGAAACCTCTTATGTAATACATTGTCACTAGGGCTTATGTTGCATCGAGGAATATTTGAAGTGATTTTTCTGATCCATTTAGCGGTGATATTGTACTTCGATAACCGTATTTTATAGCATCCCAACGTGATTCACTTTACATGGGTATTTTAATCCCGTACAATTCATGAAATCCTCTTCAAGTCATTACTCAATCGAAGGCCCAAACGTCATCATTTATCTATCACAATTACACCCTTATTCTACTACCAGGAAGCATTCCATCTCTTCTAAATGCTATTAGTCTTAGATTCCTTTGAGTTCATTCAGGCTACACTGAACTTTCTATAACTTAGAGAAACCATTAGCTCTCTTGTTTACATTGGCTTAATCTCGAGGACTTATCCATTCTCATCACCTTATCACTCGCCCTTTCTCATCCATACTTCTATCATAAAAACTTGTCGCTTTACTATACTTTAGCTTGCGACCTATACGTATCTATTTATACTACTCGCAACCTTCCTTCAACTTGCTTGTATCATAGATATCCTTATGTCATCCCGAAATATCAAGCGAGATATCACATCGTCCCTAACTCTTCTTTACTCTCTTAATTAGGCTTCTCGATACCTAAAAACCATAGGCTGGAAGATATGTTACTGACGATGCCGCTATAATTCCTGGATACTGAATCCCAGCGCTTCTAGCCTTCTATCCGAAGTATGGACTATACATAACCTTCTGCATATGAGTATCTCATACGTTGTTCACATTTACCTTACTTACCTTAAAATCTCGCACCACATCTTCTATCTTCTTTATGACCTTCCTCCCACATAGGTATAATTCACATCCACAACTTGAAGCTCTATTATAATACTTACAACTCTGGTGTATACACGATCCGGTGGAAGCTTTATACTGACTTCTTATAAGGCTGGTACTCTTCTAACTGGCTTTTTCGTAGGGCCGTTATAGAGAATGGTTGTTGTACTATCTCTCTTGTACCTCTGATATTAAGAGTGATTCTGCAATGTTCTCAATCATGATGTCTATAATTTTCTGGGTCCAATAATCAGACTCCTGATTTACTTCATTGATGTAACTCTTAGTTTCCTCTTCCTTCTGATCAGCCTTTATGTAGGCTTAAGCTATCTTCCGATCTGTGGCTCATGGTATTAGTTAATATTTTAGCCTTTCATGGGCTCTATGGAATATCCATGATACAATCTTATGACAATTTAATCCTTTGTCTATGCCTGGGCTCAATTCCTTCTTTTAAGTTATACCGGAGTCTTCTACGACTGTATGAATGTCCATATATATGTTGCATGGATAATACTCCAAAATTTTAAGTGCCTTCATAATGTAACTAACTCTGGATCATTGATCGAATACTTCCTTTCATTCCATCTCAGCTTTCTTTAAACATAAGCAATTACTTTTCCTGGTCGTTCTACCGCTTATTGCATGAATACTTGGCTTATCTTAGTGCCCACACATATTGGAATTCCGTACAACCCATATGATCTTGAATATCACCTTTTGATTTTTTTCTTCCTCCCGTTCATAGCCACAATAGGGGCCACTTTCTTATGGAGTACATACAATGCCGTTATGAGACTGTTGTTACAAGACCATTTCTTCTTCAACTTACTATGCTTAGGTTGAAGCCTTCTTCCTTATTTCATCAGCTAGTCTTCATTGTAGTACTTAGGGAGGACCTTCTGACTCTTGTAAAGCCGCGAGCTTATTACATCGCATTCCCGATAGAATTTTTGATGTCCTTCCTCACCTATAATTATCCGTAGTTACTTACCTCCACGTCATTGTGCTTGTAGGGTTGCTTCTAAACTTGATATTTTGACAGTCTTCTCGGTGGCATTCTCTTTTATTTCCGTAATACTCATACGGTACCTTTAACTACCCTAACTCCTATCTGAATATTTCTCAAGGATTCACGATGTCATATTTGCGAGACTGAATTCCCTATGTTGG